ACGAATCGAGTGCGAGTCAAGTGCACCAGAGCTTGTTGTGGCAAGCGAGAGACCAGCACCTTTTCGTCAGCTCGCGGGTAGAAGTGCTCTCTTGTCAAGGCTAAGCAAAGTAAACTGTAGCAGCAGCAGCAGTAGTTGGTCAGTTGAAGTAAAAGTCGCTGTTGCAGTCGTTGCCGTTGAAACACAAATTCGAAAGACGGATCGTCGAAAACAATCCCAATCTGTGCTTGAGATCGTTTGTCAAACATCCTCCAACCTGAAATCCCAACTGTCGTATCTGAATGGTTTGAGCCGTCAGTCCCAAACGACGAAAAGCTCGCACGACCAATAATGCGTCCGTCCACTTCGCCTCCGAGCACCCTCGTGGACGCCGCCACGTGCGTGTGGAACCAGTACTACCCCGACGACCACAACATCGGTGTCCGCCAGCCGGGTGAGACCCGTTCTGTGCACTATTATAGCCCTATCAGCGACACCGATGGCCGCTTCCAAGCCGCCGTGACCTTCCTCAACTGTTTCCGACACGGCGAACAATGGGCTCCGTTGCTCCAAGTACGAGGTATTACTTCTTGCACCACAATACACACCAGTGTGTAGTCACAGTCGAAAATGCTGCAGTGTGACTTGACGCAGGCGAACGTGACGGTGGTGTGGCTGCACTATCAGGAGCTCATTCGGACTGGAACAAAGGACTTTGAGCGAGCAATGACGGAAAACATTGAAGACGTGCTGCTTTGCATGGGCATCGCGCTGTGCATGCGGCGGCACGAGCTTCGCCTGGAGGCAGAAGAAGACGCCGCGAGGAAGCGGAACGTGCTCGTTGATCGCACCAAGATCACGGTTCGGTTGCACGGCGTGACGCCGGTGCTGCCCATTGCTGCGGTGAAAGCAGAACTGGTGCACCAGTTTGTCAGTGTTGTTGGCACGGTCGTACGAGTGAGCGCTATCAAGCCACTCGTCACGAGGTGCGACTTTGTGTGTGCGAAGTGCAACGAAGCGACGTCGAGAGCCTTCCCCGAGGGAAAGTTCACTCCTCCGCAGGGGTGTGAGCATTTGCCGTGTCGAGGTCGGACGCTGCTACCGAACCGGTCGTCGGTGGATACAGTCGATTACCAGAAGATCAAGTGGGTAGAGGAATAGCCCGTGTGGGGTTCTTCGGAGCTGCAACTGAATCATCACACGCATGTGGTCATTGTGGTCTTTGATGCTGTTGTTGTTGTTGTTGCTGTTGCTGTTGCTGTTGCTGTTATTGTTGTTGCTGCTGTTGTCAAGACTGCAGGAGATCGAAGCCACAGATGTTGGGCCTGGCCGTGTACCGCGAATGGTAACATGTTACCTGCCTATGTATGACCCATCCGTTCGTTACTTACGTCCAATGAGTTGATCATCGTGGCGCGCAGATTGAGGTGGAATTGTACGAGGACCTTGTGGACTCTTGCATTCCTGGTAACGTCGTGACGATCTCAGGCATCGTGAAGAGCGTCAACTCAGAAATCCACGGAGGAAGGTATGGCAAGCGTGCGCAAGCAAACAGCCTGTATATACTGTACATCAGCGCCAACTCCGTCGAAAACTCGGCAAAGGTAACTTGTGCGATGGTGTGAAGGGCTTGTCGGATGCGGAATGATAGACCTCGCATGTTGTGCCCGCTTGCTTCAACGTAGGCGGACAAAGACAAAGCTTCGGACATTGATTTTGCCAAAGAAGACCTCGAACAGATTAGCAGTATCATCAATCAGGGCGACGTCTTCGACCGGCTTGTCCATTCCCTGTGCCCCGGCATTTATCGCAACGACATCGTGAAGGCTGGTCTGATCCTGGCGTTGCTCGGAGGAACTCGGAACTCGGATGACAAAGACACGCCATGCGTGAGCAGAGCAGATTCGCACGTGCTAGTTGTTGGCGATCCTGGTCTGGGCAAAAGTCAGATGCTTCGGGCTGTGTCCATGGTTGCGCCACGAGCTGTGTACGTGGGTGGAAACACCACTACCACGACGGGGTTGACTGTCACAATGGTGAAAGACGGATCCGGCGACTACGCGCTGGAAGCCGGTGCCCTCGTTCTCGCCGATCAGGGAGTTTGCTGCATCGACGAGTTTGACAAAATGGGGATCGACTACCAGGCCCTGCTCGAAGCGATGGAGCAGCAAAGCATCAGTATTGCAAAGGCAGGTATCGTGTGCAACCTCAACGCTCGGACGTCCGTCATTGCCGCTGCCAATCCCAGCGGCGGTCACTACGACCGCAGTCAGTCGGTGCGAGAGAACCTGAAAATGAAAGCTCCGCTCTTGTCTCGCTTCGACCTCGTTTTCATCCTGCTGGACCGGCCGGACGAAGAACGAGATCGGCTGTTGTCGGAGCACGTGATGAACTCTCACGCACGTGGCGCGCGAAAGTCGAGGAAGCGCGTGCGCGACGACTGTGCGCCAACGAGTTCATGGAAGTCGAGCAGACACGCCAACACACTGCCGTCAAGCAATTACGAACCAGCCGCCGAGTCTGATCACCGCATTCTATCGCACCGTCTCCGTCAGAACGCGTCCGAGTTCAGCATCGACCCCATACCCCTCTACTTTGTGCGCAAGTTTATCGCGTACGCTCGTCGATACGTGCACCCACGTCTATCGCCTGAGGCTGCGACTGTGCTGCAGCAGAAGTATCTGGAGCTGCGTGCAGCAGGTGAGGGCGAGCAGAACTCGGGGGACAGCATCCCGATCACCACACGGCAGCTCGAGTCGCTCATCCGTCTCTCGCAAGCGCGCGCTCGAGCGGAACTCGCTGAGACCGTCTCGGTCGAGCACGCCCGAGATGTCGTTGACATCCTGCAGGACTGTTTGCGCGACACGTGCGTCCCTGAAGACAGCAGTCTCGACTTTGGCCGCAGCGGAGGCATGAGTCTGGCCAAGAAGGTGAAAGCGTACGTCGCACGGCTCATGAAAGCGGCAGCCCGACGCAACACGAGCCTGTTCTCCATGGACGACCTGGTCCAAGTGGCCGACAGCATGGCGCTCAAGGTGGACGACTTTCGAGACTTCGTGGACATCCTGCGCAACGAGTGTTACTTGCTGAAGAAAGGCCCGGGACAGTACAAAGTGCAAACATCGTCGTACAACATGATGTGACCAAGACCGTGTTGTGCGACTACGTTATCAGCAGCTTCAGCTCGAGGATCGCTGATGTCGTTCAACAGCCGCCGCAGTTGGCTTCGACGGTCAGCAGCAGCTCAACTGGTGCGTCCGCCCGACACGATCGTCTGCTGCAGGTGTTTACTTGATATTGAGCTTCTCCCGACGGGCCCTGACCTCCTGGTCCACGATAGCTTGCGGTCGCTCGGAAGAGAAGAGGTCGTGGCCCGCTTTGCGTTCTACAAGACAGAAGGAGCGAAGGAGGAGGGAAAGCACCGGTGCGAGTTAGACGGCGGACAAGCGAGTGGAGCGAACGAGCGCGGCGTACGCTTCTGGACAACGGGGTACGCGCAGATGGCGAGACAGAGCGACGTGCCGACGAACACTTTGCCGCTCTGGCTCAGCGGGAGCTTTTCGAGGAACGTGAGCAGCATCTCGATCGACTGACTGAGCTCTCTCGGCTGTTGTGGAGCGCTCGATTCCCTGTGATACGATATAGCGAGAGGGCGACGGGGACCTGTCAAAGTCGATGAACGTCCTGCTGATAATGATGGCTCGGTCAGAAGCGACGACCGGTGGATGGACACCTGAAGCACCGAGAGAGACGGACGGACGGACGGACCGCAGTGGCAACAAACAATGATACACAACGACACTTGCTTGTGCTTCAGAACGTGGTCTGTTCGATTGCTCGCTTTCGACTGACTGGTGGTACAGCTGATCGATGTGGCACTGCTTGCGCACGGGCACATGGCTTGAAGGGCGTTGTGTGTGAAGCTGTTGTGGCTAGGTACGTACGTCGCTGAAACGAGTCGTTGAAGTGAATCGCCGAGAACAACGATCCGTTGACAGACGCAGACACCGATACCAATGCTGCGTGGTCCATCTTTGTTCCTGTGGGTGACAGTTGAGGCAGAGACTATCGATAGGACAAGAGCAAACGCGTTTCGACTCTTTCGTAGTGCATTAAACGTGAGACCGTCGTCAACTTCTCCAGTGTTCAGCATCCAACGTCCGCCGCAACGCGAATCCTGGAAAAAACTTGTCACCGATGGCGGCCAGAGCAGCCCGCCGTCCAACGCAACCAGCAGATTTCGCCTTCACTCCTTGTTCACTGTCCGATGAGAGCGTCAACTTCGCTTGGCATTGAAGCCTTCGACTATCGGTGATCAGCTTTAGCTTTGCAACCTCTCGAATGGGCTACTTGATCGAAGGTGGAGGTGTTGGTGCACGTTGGGTCCCCAAGGCGGCATTCGCTCCACTCGTTGCCCGCATTCCAGCCGTTTGCCCCGACGCGAATGTCATGCAGAGAATCCCGACGGTAAGGAGAAGAATGTTAGCGAACCGCATGCTTTGACGCTGAGATGTAGGAGGTTTGTTGGTTGCGAAATCGATTGTGACTGACTTCGAAGCGCGTTCAGAAGCGCTCTCGTGGTCCACCATCTCAAGATCTATGAAAATCCACACGTACCTATCTCTTTGAATCTTACGGTAAGGGTTGGTAGGTAAAAGCGCGACGACAAGACGCGTTCAACCCTGTATAGAGCGTGATTAAACAAGCACGACAGCTTCGCCGTCACCATATGCTTAGGCTAAATCGCCTACTCAGTCCAAAATATACTTGTGTGCTTAGGAGAGGGACTTAAGAAAGAAACGCAAATCTTTCTCGTTCTGCTATGGCTCGTGATCCACTAAGCTCAGCGTTTTGACTCATTGATAAGATGGGCTTGGGAACAAGTGCTCATACGGGTAATGAATCTTTAGCACGAGAGGTACTGACCATTGTGGCTGGATTATTTGCTCAAATTCCGATTTCTACGAACACAGATGGGAAAAAAGAGAGTTGGTAGACGTCTGGTCTGATCGGCTGGTACCCCATCCGTGATTGGCATCTCTCTTTTGCGCTGTGACAGCTGCACCTGTTAAACTTTACGCGCACGCAACGCCGGGTGGCGATTTGTTAACAGCGACATAGGCCGCAATAACCACCGCGGAGCAGTCTTAATATATTTCGATATCGTCATGCTGCCGACAATATTGTAAACAACGTCAGCATTGACCATTTGCCACAGGCAAAACTATTAGCCCTAAACGACCGCAAGCAATCATGTGGGACCAATGCTGTAGAAGAGAGCCATCGCCATAAGATACACCCAGGGCTAATGCAACACGCCTAACATGCGAAAGGTGTAGGGTGGCCTCATTCATATTGCGTGCAAGACACCACGGGTGGAACAGGCCACATGATGGCTAACCCAACGCATGTACATGTTACATCATTTCCGGCAGGTATAGTCCCAATTTTAGAAACAATGCAGGACTAGGCAGTAGGGTTATCTTACTCCTGAAGCGGAAGCGACAGCTGTATAAGCCTCGAAAAATTTGGGTTGTATCATCTGACTGGGTCTATACATGACGCGGCCAACCACCTACCCACCCCTATTTGAAAAGACGAACGCAGCTGCTTGATGCGGAGCACGTGAGTCTGACTCTAACTGCAACCAGCTGACCATAGTTAAAGGAGTATTGCTGGAGCTCGCATAGCAAAGACTCTCTTCGATTTTCGATGGGAGTACATAAGAGGACGAAGCCTTCTGGTCCACATATTTGCGTGCTGACAACACATGGAATGTAGATCACCTAGGAGATGTCACTTGATCACAGGAGCGAATGACATAGGGAATTCGCCAAACTGCGATACTACTATTCTGTAATCCAGGTATACTTTCTTGTCGTTCGGCGGAAGGTGCCACCATGCAATAACAAGCCATGCTGCGTGGTGGGGACTAACAATTATAATGAATGCGCAGAGATCAAGACAGTAGCGGCAAACTCCGGGTAGACAGAGTATGCCATAGCGTAACACCACCGCAACTGACGAACGCGTACACTTGGAACATACCGCAAACGACTTACATCAATGAACTCATGAAATATTTGGGACGCTACCAAGAATGAAGCAGCGATATACTCCGTCGGATGGTACAATTCTTTCAATTTATTTTACAATATTTTAAATTACTTCCGAAAGTGTGGGTGGTATTATGCACACGTGCCTTACCTGCTAGATCGTATTTAGTACAGATGCCCGGACATAAGTACATAGCACGCACGCACACAATGCCTCTATACCACAAAATCTACTTATGGTATAATTCCTTCTTACTTGCGTATTTCAGCCTACCACATTGTGTATTTATTGCCGACCAGCCTGTCTAACGTGTGTACTTGATCAAAACTGCAAGTGTAACAATTGGGCCCTAACAAAACTTTAACGCTTGTGTGTCGATTATACTTTTTACGGGGTCGCCCCTAACATAAAATCCTCATTAAGAAGATATGACAATAAAGAAAATTTCGATGAATATTCTTTCAACAATATCACATAGCATGATGATATTGTTGAAGATGACCGAAGGGTCTACTCATTGGTTGATATCGCGATGATATCAACCCAACAATCGCTGCTAGACGCGCGCAATGGGTGGTGAGTAGACGTCACCATACATTTGGTTACATTAGTATAATTAAGTCAGGTCAAACAAAGACACGAGAGTTGAAGGACTCTATAATATAAAATAGCAGTTTTACTTTTATCACGACTAGAGCCCTTCACTATAGTCGTTCTATCTTCCTCTGTGTAGTTCTACACCTAGCTGGCCTTATCTATCACTACCGTCAGTGATAGTAAACTCTGTACTGGTTGACCAGTACGTAGTCGTCAGTTCCCCGTTACAATACTTACTGCAAGGTGTAATGCTAGACACGCAGATCGATTAAGTAGAGTTTGACAGCCATAGGGAAGATATACGATATGTAGCGTTACTACCGTATGCCCTGAATTTTTACCTTTATACGTAGTCGAGGAGTGTTATGGGTGACACACTAGGTCACATATTATCTATATCATCAGGATAAAAGATACCAGCTATTTATATGCAGTTGACATAAGTGCTCCAGGTACTGTTAATCTTACAAAACGTTACTTTTTTCAATCTAATTAAATCCCCAAGTCGCACCCTCTGTATTCTTATGCTTGATAGATTTTCAATCCCGTTGTTATGGTTGTTGCTGAAAAAGTAGCATAATGTGTCAATTTTCTTCGCTGACGCTACCGCTGTTGTAGCTAATTAAACTGTTAGGTGTAGGAGGTGATAAATCACATCTTATAGGCATACCTTTTTGCCTGGTCTCACTGACGGATGCTGTCACAATACTTTTATGCAATGTATATTTGGTGTCTTCTTCAATTCCACGCAACTTTTTTGTACAGGCTGACCCACTACTTTACAATATGATGTACAAAGTCACACCCTTGAAAAGGAAAACAATATAAATTTGCATGCAATGGCTGTATTTCAAAATTATTGACAACCAATTTTTCGTCTCGTAATACAAACCGTGTACGACGCAAATATAATTTTATTGTATCAAGAGACCGATCGTGTCAAGTAATTTGGCATTATATAGTGTCATTATCATGCGCAACACAATTGCGTGGACCGAGGGAAACAAAATACTATTACTTAAGTGAATGTATCTTTCTGCTTATACAATAAAAAAGTTAACCTATAGCTTATCAATGACATTACACACTTTGAAACCACACAATCAGAGATGTGAAAGACAGACCAATGTCAATTGACTAGGTCAATTGACCTGGTCACTTATCTTAAGTGACCGAAAGTCACCCGTTAAAAAACAGCATGTAAATTGAATGCGAACAATGCGACCGACAAAGAAATATTAAGATTAACAAAGTGTTTAAATCTGACCCCTAATAATCGTATTTATGCTTCTCATTAAAAAGAATTTCATCTATTTTCGTCTAAATTTTCATCATTTATTTAATTTCTTGGGTGGTGTTTCTCAGTCTTCTTTCGAAATTATTGCTACTTTCATAGAGGGTTTCGTATATCTAATGATTGATGAATCGCTATAGAGGATGAGTACGAATACACTTCATAGCAGATTTATCTGATTTTCGAAATGGCGCT